GAGATTTAGCCGCCGGTGACGCCCAGCAGCTGTTTGCGGGCTGTCCTGACTCTTCATGCGTGTGCCCGCCGTCGCAGTATCGTGGCTTTACCCGACCAGTTCGGTGTGGTGCTGATCAATGTTGTTTGCACTTTGTCGCGTATTTTGTGCGTGCGGGAAGCTGTGTTGTCTGCATAATTGCTTTGCTAGCAAAGCTTTTTGTCGTGATACTGACAACTTTATAGGCTTAGCAGTTATGCAACATAACTAGAGATGTCAATCGGATACCAACTTTTTGGTATACCGATACCAAACCGATACCAACTTGGTATTTGGTATTTCAATCGTAATGTGTTTGGTATTTTGTTGGTATCATAAACCCTCACTAATTACGGAGCGAGCGAAGCGAGCGTAGTCTTTCCTTAGATTAACGGAAATTTCTGAGTATGAGCGGCCGGCCGGCCGGCCGGCCGTGCGGACGCTTTTGCGAGGCTTATATCTCAGCAACCACTTGACCGATTTACACGGGGTAATTTTTGTAGGGTAGCTTCATTCCTTCTACCAAGTATTGGACTATTCCCGATGCATGTGGGTGACCCCTTATGCACGTGCCACGTGCAAAACGAAGAGGTGTCAGTTTTGGAATTGTTGCAATATCTCGGTAACGACTCGGCCGATTGCGCTGAAAGTTGGCATGTAGGTAGGCACCCACTAGGCACTGCATATCCATGTGCCAGAGATGGGGTGCTGCTGCACGTGCGCACGTGCAGGGGTCGTTTCCAGATCTCGAGAACGGCTGGACCGATGGCGCTCAAATTTGGTACACGGTTAGGGACCGGTTAGTAGGGTGCCGTGCACAAGTCAGTTGGGACCCATTCTGCACGTGCGCACGTGCAGGGTGCCGCTTCCAGATCTCGAGAACGGCTGGGCCGATTGTGCTCAAATTTGGCACATCGCTAGACACCGGTTAGTAGGATGCCGTGCACAAGTCAGTTGGAGGTACCCCCTCGAAATTTCGCACGTGCAAGGCTCACCCTCTCGCTCGCTCCGTTAGTCGCCCCAAAAGGCGCTATACTGGTGTATAAGAGGCTAAGAAATCGGTAAAAAGTTGGTATTTCCCTCATTTTCCCAAGTTGGTTTGGTTTCGGTATTTTCTCGTGGTTTTGGTTGGTATTTGGTTTGGTATCGGTATTCCGATTTTCCGTAATTGACATCACTAAACATAACTATGCTAGTTATTTCTGATTGATGCTGACATATAGACAATATTAATAAACATGGACATATATTTTAGCATTTCGAGCAAAGCATTGATAAGCAATCGGAGCGCTGACGGTCCAAGCGAGTATGCTTTTGGGTGCAAATATTATAAGTAGGTACTTACGTTCGAATGAAATAGTCTTTCGAATGGGACAGCTGAGATGACCGTCACGAATAGTATACAAATGCCACAGTAAAACAGGTTGCGTAACTGAGGCCGTCCTGGCTGTTGATGTTAAGCTCTGACTTACCTTAATAATAAATAATCTTCGAAGTGTGTCAATGTAGGCGTAAAGGCCTGGCTACACTATGCGTTTTCTTCGTGCGTTTTTTGCGTGTTTGCGTGTTTTGCGTGATATCGTTCTAGAAAAAAGAAGGATATTACGTTTTTGTGATGTTTTTCACCTTAAATTTTAGTTACACAAGAGTTATATTAGCTTTTGTATATAACCAAAGTAAAAATTATATAGTTTATAACTTTTTTCCTAGAACGATATTACGCAAAACACGCAAACCTGCAAAAACGCACGCAGAAAACGCATAATGTAGCCAGGCCTTAACACTTATACACCTATCATCTAGTCGTGAACTATTCATGTATGATTGCATACAAAATAATACTTTGAAGTATCTCATATCCATGAGGAACGCTCGTTCGGAGGACGGATAGGAATATAATGGTAGGTAATCTTCTCGTAAGATTAATTAAACGTTAAGCCTTTGCGAAATATAATGCTGAAAACAGAACGCTTCTAAATAATCAATTTTGTGTATCGTCGACCTTTCAGCTCTGCCAAAGTTCGTTAGTGATTCCACAGAAGGCGACATGATTGCTTAAACACTGGTGAGGTGCTGGCGGCATAGTGGTCTGAATCACTTTACACTCGTCACTTTGTCGTTTAATTAGTTTGTTTGATGACAGAATAATTTGAGGCAATTCTTATTTTATTAATTGAAATCAAAAGCCTCTTGCGGTAATGATACGCCCTAATTTTATTACAGCCTTTTTCAGATAAATGTGTTACATATGGTACAACTTTTAACCAGCGCCCCACTGGGGCTGCGTATAACGCGCCCTACTGGCGGGGAGGGGGGCTACTCATAGCCCCTCTCCTAACTCCCAAACTACTGGGCTGATCGTCAAAACTCAAACGATGTCTGATAGCCCCGTAAAAACTGGACAGCGAAACCTAATTCCATTGACCTTGAGGTCACCGATGACGTCAAAGGTCAGGTCAAAGTAAAAATTATCGATGTTTGGCTTGTTCACCGTTTGGGCTCTGCCCGCCGTCCTACAAGCCAGATCAGGCTCATTTTTGATTTACACACTCGTGAACAGATACTTTAGATACCCTGATGGTACCAAACTTGTATTTTGATTTTCAGGTCAGGAACAGGTCATCACAGGTCACGGAAATCTTAAATCATGCATTGGTCACGTGACATATGTTTTATCATCAATTTAGGCCATAGATTTCGAATTCGATGTCGTTTATGTCATTCGAGATCATTTTGAGTTGAATTTAGCTTAGGTCAGGCCACTTTCAGGTCAAAAAGGTCAAACCTTAAGTTGAAATTTTTCAACAAAAAAAGTGTCTATCGGATGCAGTTTGAGCTCAGGAACATGATGGTCTAGTTTAGTTTAGTTTAGTTTATTGACAGCATCATCAACGGGCATAGAAGGCCCAATTACAGATGAAGTCGAAGGTTAAAAATGCACTTAATATGCTGACACACAAATAAATACACGTATAAAAACAAATCAAATCCGAGCTGACGATGGTGCTAGTAATATTGGTGTACGATGTCAACCACGTTTGATGTCAAACCATGATTGATTTGAAAAAAACTATAATTTTGAATTTTTTGCTATAATGCATATAACTTGTATATTTTAAAGATATCTGGCTACAACTTGCTGGAGTAAATTAAGTGCATGTGCTCTATTACATATATACCACTTTTTTTCGAAAAGTCAAAACTTTTCGAAAGAACGATATAAACATAAATTTTGAATTTTTTATGTATATTTTTTTTCTCAATATTTTCCAAGTTTTGAAGGCCGAGATAGAATTTGATAGCGCAGTCTATTCGGAGTCCTCTCATGCAAAGAAATTTGATCTAGCTTGAAAACTGAGCTCTTGAGAGCGATTGCCGTGGTTCAATGTTTTGCGTCGAAATCGGACGAACATGACGTCACTCTGACGTCATTTCCGGCGCCCTATGGTAGCTACGATGTTCATATTTTGACATAAGGTGTCAAATTGATGCATTCGAAGGTACTAAAAGTTTGGCGTCGATACTTTTAGTGGTTTAGAAGTTATTCCAGAAAAATGAGAGGGGCGCCCCATTGCCGCCCCCCCCCCCCAGTGGGGCGCGGGCTAAAGGACATAAATGTTTTCATGTGTGATTTCGAAAAAAAAAACGCTAATTGACATTTAAAATGAGTCCAGTTGAATACCAAGTTCGATAACTTAGGTCACACAGCCACCTTATTAGCACTGTAGCAGAAAACTGCCTATTATCGATCGTCACCCACGCCACGTTAATTGCCTGAGTTCTAACCCTGGTGACTGCTAGCCGTCGGACGAGGTGTCGGGCCGCCGTCACTCGCTGTCATCCTCTCTGTCCGTCATCAGGGTGTCCCCCGACAGTCACCGGGGCGTCACCGGTCGTCACAGCCCGTCACCGGCCCACACGTCACCAGACGCTCCCGCCGGCGCCGCCGCGCGGCCGGAGGCCACCGGCCCGGCGCCGCGCTCGGATCGAGTCTCGATGTGGGGCTGAGCTGTCCAAGCCACGATATCCATCTGGCTCCCTTCGGGTCAGATACCATCTGCGCCAGTGACCTTCGCCCGCGGCCGGAGCGGCTCGACCGGCCGAGAGCGGCCACCATTCTTTGCGCCGCGCCGGCCGCGACAGTCGCCGCCGAGCCGCGACGTCCACCACGTGAAATATGGGGCGGCACGCTAAACGAAAGGCCATTTATTTGGCGCGCTGCGCGGCCGGCCCCATTGGTGGTCACGTGGTGAGTCGGCCCGCCCCGGCGGCTCTCGCTCGGTCAGTCGTGTCCACGGGCAGGCCACGACAGAGAAACGTAATCCCAGTGTTTAGCGGATTTTCGTAACACGACCTCCGTGAGCGACGTCGAAGCCAGAGTCTGACGGTGTTCCGCATAAATTAGTGGAGACCTGTGCTATAAAGTATTTTCCAGCTCAGCGAACACTTTCAGGGCGGCCGTGACGATTTTCTTTCAATTTTCTCTCGGTAATGTGGGCCCCAGCTCCGATAATTTCAGAGATCTAGTCGGCCGTTTCAGCTGCTACACACAAGAAGGGCGAAACATCCAAGAAATCTTAATATCTGGCTTTTGGTGACGATATAGTTGGCAAAAATTAGTGGAATAGGAGGAATAAGTTTATAATTTGTTTACCGTTTTTGGGGAGCACCGAGCGGAATCAAACTTGGTAAAACTAGGTAGGTTATGGCCCTGGGTTATGGCTACGATTTACGAAGAGTTATGCCACCCTACAAATCGGCTAATGAAATAAAAATAACGCACCGGCTATTGGTAGACGTTATTTCGGGCAGGTGGGTACTATATCTCCACAAACATGAGGAAATTAGATAATATTTTCACTTTTCATCTTGCGAAACGTGTAGCGCATGTGCCCATCCATGTGCTCCAATTTGGCCCAAGGCAAGCATTCCCAAGGCAAGCAACTAAACAGCATTCATGTAACGAAAAAAAAACGCATACATATGTCCAGCAGCATATTTATTACGTACAAAAACCCATCGAGTATTCGAGCAGAGATCAAAAACTCAAACGGAAATGCTGGATGGCAAGTACACTGCTGGAAATGATGATCGCAAACATGATTAATAACATCCCATTTATAACCAATCCCGATCTGGCAATCATCTTCGCTCGTCAAAAACACGAAGACGCTGGCAACAGTTATTGGCACAAGTCAAATATGGGATTGGGTATGAGCACAACATTATGGGGATCAAAACTATGGCACACGCGTCCCTAAATGGAAGTTCTTATCAGGCCCTTCAATCAAGGCTGTCCTTCTCTTGCACGTGGCGCATGCCTCGCATTTTACTCGCGTCGGAGCTTCCACAATCCACAAAGCTGGTTGAAAATAGTTCATGAGAGTCGCCAGTATGGTCAGCGATAAAACACTGCAATGTTTTCAAACAACCGACCTCGGCTACGTCGTGGTACAAACCCGTCCTGGCAGTGAGCAGCCCGCTCAGGTACAAACATCTGCACACACACTTACAAACACCGTGCCTGAGTTTTCGCCAATCAGTGAACAGGCCTCTCATTCGCGCTCAGCAAATCTCCTGAGCTTGCCACCGCGTGCGAAACACTCACGTAAAACCCTGAGTCGCTCACTGAGTTCGAACCTCGTTCACTCGCACAACAAACCCCTGAGCTCGTCACTGAGAAACCCCTGAGCTCGTCATTGAGATGAATATCAGACCGCCTCGACACCGGCCGGCCTACCTGAGATTCGTCTGAGATGCGTAGGAACTTGGCACATGTCTTTTCCAATGAGATGCACGCGGTCGCTCTCTCTATCACAACACAGTTATATACATGGCACTGAAGCAGAAAGCGTTTACTCTCTGCCCTCTATAAGCGTCCCTGAGCTGTTCGATAGCGGCGCGGAAGTCCTTCAAAAGCTCGGCTGCATCAGATGGCCGTTGCCGTTGACGGCGCCGTTCAGACCGCCGTTGATGCTGCCGTTCATATTGCCGTTCATATTGCTGCCGTTGGCGACTCCGGAGAAGGCCGCCGGGGGCGGGGCGCCGAGCGGCGACCACTGCTGGTGCGGGCTGGCCGCCGGCTGCGGTGCGCCCTCGTGGGTCGGCATGTGCTTCTCCATCTGATCCTTGCGGATGAAGCCCTTGCCGCAGACGTGGCAGATGAAGGGCTTCTCGGCCTGGTGCGTGTAGCGGTGCCGCTTGAGATCGGAGAAGTGCGTGAACTCCTTGTCGCAGATGGAGCACTGGTGGCGGCGCCGGTGTGTGCGGTCGTACTCTGCGCAGCTGACCTCTGGCCGGTGCCGGCGGCAGCACTGGGCGCACTTGGTCTGCCGCTCGCCGCTATGCTGACTCTCGCGGTGCAGCTTGTAGTACTGCAGGCTGCTGAAGCGCTTGTTGCAGCAGATGTAGGGCTCCTCGGTGCATTCTGAGTCCTCAGAGCTCTGCACGCTGCCGCTGGCCGAGCCCGGAGACGGAGCGTCCTCCGACTGCTCGCCGTTCTCCTCCCCGCCCTCCTGTTGCTGCTGAGGCTGGCACGGCGACTGCCCCGGCTGCTGCTGCTGCTGAGGCGGCTGCTGAGGCTGCTGGTGGTGGCCGAAGCCGGGCAGCTGCTGGTGGTGTTGCTGCGCCATCGATTGCTGCTGCTGCGCCATCGACTGCTGCTGCTGCGGCGACGGCAGTGGCAGGCCGGCCTGGCTATAGACCGGCTGCTGCGCTGAGTACGAGCCGAACCCTCCGTACGAAGCCGCCGAGCTGAAGGCGCCCAGGAAGCCGGCGGGCGCCGGGTTGGGCGCCGCCGACACCGACACCTGGTACTCGGGCGCCGCCGGCGGGTAGCCGAGCGGCTGTGGCGGCGGCGCCACGATAGGCGTCGGGCTGCCGAGCGGCTCTGCCGGCCGGCGCCCGAGCTCGCCCGGCGCGCCGCCGCCCTCCTGCAGCGGCGGAGTCATTGGGTACTGCGGCGGCGGCGGCCCGCTCGCCGGCGGGAACGGAAGGCCGTACATGCGCATCCCCTCCGGAGGGCCGGACGGCATGGTCACCAGCGGGGGCACCGGGGCCGGCGGCGGCGGCGGGGCGCTGTCTCCGAACGCGGCCCGGGAGCGCGACTTACTCTTGACGCTGGGCGACGACTTCTTTCCCTCCTTAGTCTGCCGATGCACGATGGTGTTGAAGTGGCGCTTCAGGTGGCCCATGCTGGTGAACTTCTTGTCGCAGACCTCGCAGAGGTAGGTCTTGGGTCTCTTGCACTGCTGCGGCTGGCCGGAGCCGAGCGTCTTGTCACTGCCGGGCGAGTCCGGGCCGGACGGCGGGCCGCCGTAGCCCGGGAACATGTTCGGCGGTGGCATGGCCACCTGCAGACCCGGCGAGCCGTAGCCGGGCTGAGGACCCTGCTGCTGCTGTTGATGCTGCTGGAGCTGCTGCTGATGGGCGTGCTGCTGCTGCTGCTGTTGCTGGAGTTGCTGCTGTTGTTGCTGATGGTACGGCGGGATCATGGGCGGCGGCGGGGTCGAGTTGAACTGGCCGGGAGCGGGGCCGCCCGGCCCGTAGGACGGCGGCAGGTGACCCGGCATCCCCGGGTGTCCATGCAGGTGTCCCAGGTGAGCCGGCAGGCCCGGGTGGCCGGTCAGACCGGGCGGGCCGCCGTAGAAGGGCGGCCACCCACCACCGGCCGCCGGCGTGTAGAAGTGCACCCGGTTCGAGTCCAGGTCGAGGATCTCGGCGCCACTCGTATCGTCGTTGGGCGACTTGGACGAGTGCCCGCCGTAGCCGCTGCTGTCCGGAGTCGGCGGGAAGTGGCCCTCGCTCCAGCCGCCCGTCTCCGGGGGGCCCTGCTCGTGCTGCGGCCCCGGCCCGGGCGGCGGGCCTCCGGGTTGCTCCCAGTACTGCGGGTAGTAGTGTTCCTCTCCGCGCGCCATGTGACCGTTCTTGGAGTCGGCCGGCGCCGGCTCCCACTCGGGTCGGCCGCCCTCGGTCGGGAACGGCTGCCGCTCGGGCGCCGCCGGCTCAGACGCCGGGCCGGGACTGCCGCTCGCCGCCGCCGCCGCCGCCTTGTGGTGATACTTCTCGTGCAGCTCCTTGGAGGTCTCGTTGTTGAAGTTGCTGCCGCACAGTTTGCACACGAACTGCCTGTCGCTGGTATCACCACTCGGACCGTTCATGCTTACACCGCTGCGCCGCTCCGCCGAGACGAGCGAGCGCGCGCGCCGCCGCCGCTGGCGCCCGCTCTTCGCGACTGTCACCGGTCGGCGAGCCCGCTCCGCGCCGCGGTCACCCGACCCGGCTCACTGGCCGCACTCTGCGCGCTCACTCGCTCACACACGTGTCACGACCGCGGCGCGCGGCTCTGCAGATGTTTGCTATCGGCCGCCGCCAGCACTACCGAGCCCATGTGTAGTCTTTTTGTGCGCGGCGCTCAACTGATCGCCTGGCGCTCCGGCGGCGCCGCCAGCGGCCGCGCGTACCTGTACACAACTCTCGCCCTTGTCGACTGACGAAATCCCAAGGTCAAAGGTGGTAATCGCGTCCAACCGGCGACCGGTCAGAGATTTTACGAGGCTGGGGAATAAAAAAGAACATGAACTTATGTTGGCTATCGGCTTCTGAAAAGCCGTTTCGGGCAAATAGTATTTTGAAACATTATCTAGCAGGCGAAAGTTATTTCCCATGAAGTTTGCGCTCACCCCTCCATAAAACACTCGGAATGCGAGCGGTCGGTCCCTCGCGAAGTTAACTTCCCGCCAACCGGCTAAGACGTTCCATACAAATCACGCGGCAGAGGGGGAATAAATTGGAAGAAGCGGGGATGGGGGCAGTAATGTACTGCCCCATGGACGCCAGCCGCCGGCCGACCGGCCACGCGCAGAATTCGCCTGAAAATACGAAATGGCGGCGCTTAGCCCAGATGACTATGCATTTGGCGAGGGACAGGTCGATGAATTTTCCTTTTTTACGGCACCAGTCGTGCCAGAGAAATACAAAAAGAGGAAAAAATGATGCTCAGCTTCAGCCTTATTGCTGACCGTCAGCCATCGCTAAAAACATTTATCTTAGGGATTTCAATTTTCAGTCACTCCCTAGCATCTTGCACAACAGTTCGAATTAAATAATCACGATCGGTTCATGGCAAATGCATCTGCACATACGATTCCAATCTGTCTGCACGACCATAGCTCGGCCGGTGAACTCTCGCACCTGCTGTTCCCTTACACCTGCTGGACCATTTGGCCGTTTTATCATCTGCCCGGCGCTGTACCGGCGCTCGTAAACACCGGCCATCAGCTCCCAGGTTTACGTAAACAGTCTGACCGCCGCGGGACCTCTCCCACACTAACTAAACACACTCCGGCATAGGCGGCGGAACGGGGGGGGCACCGGGGCACCGTGCCCCCCCTTGAATTCTGCAAGGGGGGCACCAATAGCAAGGTGCCCCCCCTTAAATTTGATGTACCTATTAGTACCAGGGGCGGATTCGGGAAAACTCCAAGGGGAGGGTCATGAATCGAAGTGGTGCCCCTACCTATGCCCAAAATTAAAACCTCAACGGATTTCGGCCACTTAATTTTGTTTGGTGGTGCCCTATTTTCAGTTTTTTTTTCTTTATTTTTGGCTAGTCATGTGATGACTGGTGCCCCTGCTAGGCCGCTGGTGCCCCTGGAAAGACTGTGGTACCTACCTACCCTGCCCCCTGACAAGCCTACGGTGGGCCCTGACATGACTTAGGTGCCCATGGGCCCTGACAGGCCCGTGGTGCCCCTGACAGGCCTGTGGTGTCCTTGCTAGGCCTGTGGTGTCCCTGGGTCTTGGCAGGTTTGTGGTGCCCCTGTTAGAACGCAGGTGCCCTTGACAGGTTTGTGGTGCCTCTGACAATCCTAAATTGCCAACGACAGGCTTGTGGTGCCCTCAGGGGCGTAACTTTGTATACTTTTGGGGAGGCAGGTGCCCCCCCAACTTGAAATTTTGCCACCCCAACATTCCGTTTGCCCCCCCAACCTTGGTGGGCGCCCCCAGGCCCGAAAGGCGCCCTCACGGGCCAGCGGCGTCATAGGAGCGCGTGCGCCATCTTTCAAGGGGGCGCCATCGCCTATATGGAAATGGGATGCGTGAGAGGGGAACCTCTGAGGCCGTGGGGGCGCCTGCATGCGAAAGAGGGGCGCCCATGAAGTCCTCAGGGGCGCCTCAATGCAAAACACGGGCGCCTGAGATGGCCACAGGGGCGCCTGCATGCGAGAGAGGGGCACCTTATTGGCCTCTGAGGCCCTTCGGGGTGCCTCTGAGGTCTATAGTATAGGGGGCGCCCACATGAAAAAGGGGCGCCCATTAAGGCCATAATGGCGCCCCAATACGAAAGAGGGGAGACTGCATGCCGAATGGGGGCGCCTCCGAGGCCCATAGAAAGAGGAGCTCCAGTTGAAGCCCAAAGGGGCGCCTCAATGGGAATTAGAGACGCCTGTGAGGTCTATAGGGGCACCTCTGATGCCCATGTCGAGAGAGTCGTCAGTCGTTTGTGTAACGTTCCTCAGGGATGGTGCGCCGCTTGCGGCAAGTAAAAACTTAGCTAAATAGCGTGCCCCATTGGTTAAAAAGCGCCCCTCGAGCCAAAGTGGTGCCCCTCTGACAACACGCACGTCTTATGTCATCTGTTTTGCTAATAACTAATGCCCCCGCATGCAGAGCGGCGCCCCATCCGTTTATCAATGTGACCCTTCAGGTGGATGAAGCGCCCCTCTGGCCAATACCTTATCATCATTGTTGCTAGAACAGCGCCCTCAGTCCGTAGACTGCCCCATTGGCTCCTGAAGGCGCCCCTCGTGCCCGTTTTGGCGCCCCTCTGCACTGAGTAATGAAATGTATGTGGCCTACCAATTCTTAAGGGCGCTCCTTGAGTCATAATCATCGCTCCTCGGGGAGGGGGGGGGGAGGCTAGAGGGCCTAGATACCATAGCACGCTATAGTGTGTTATGGCATCCCTGCTGCTAAAACGGCACACTTAGCTAGGTTAGCGCCTCAACGGTTCATACAAGCGCCCCTCGAGCCGAAGTTCGCGCTCCTCTGACTTACATAATTTCCTTGCTAAGTACGACGCCCCTCGCTGGGCATGGGGTGGCGCCCCACCAGTTTACCAACGCGCCCCTTTAGCCACATGAAGCGCTCCTCTGGTCAATGCGGTCAATACCTTATTTCATCACTGCAGCTAGAGCGGCGCCCCTATTTCGGTGGCTGTTCCATCGGTTCCTGAAGGCACCCCTCGAGACAGTTTGGAGGCCATCTGCAGTGAGTATTAAAATTGATGTGGTTAAGAATGGCGCCCTCTGCACGGTGTCGCACCGATTCTAAAGGGCGCCCCTTGAGTCAATGTAATCGTCCCACAGGGCCTTGTGTGTTATGGTATCCCTGCTGTTAAAGCGCCACTCTTGCTTGGCGTAGCGTCCCAACGGTTCATAGCACCCATCGAGCCAATGTTAGCGCTCCTCTGACTATACTGGTATCCTACATCATCTTTTTTGTTCAAAGGGTGGCAAAATGTGGACCCGAGGACCCGGTCAAAAGAACCGGTCTGGACCCATATGGGTCCGGACCGGTTCCTGGAAATTTTCTGGCGGGTCCAACCGGGTCCTACCATAAACCATACATAGTGGACACTACATATGATTGCAAAATATGAAGTGAATGGAAAGAAAACATTTGCTCATGTATGTTCCTTTGCACACTATAGTTCATAAGTATTATCAGTGGGAAAAGGGCTGTTTTACACGATGCAATTAATTATTTCTACAAACGGTTTGTATTAGGTAATTGACTTTTGGGGAACGGGTCCAACTGGTTCCGATTCCAACTTAGACCGGGTCCGACTGGTTCCAGAAATGTCCAGCCGGGTCTGGTTCGAGTCTGTTTCCCAAAATTTTCACGTTTTGCCACCTCTAGATCAAAGCAGGAGTAATTTATAGGGGAGAGCGGGGAGAGTTGTATCATGTCCAAGTTGTATCAGGGCGAATTGTGCCAAACTTATCCAATGGATGGCGCTCGCGACACGACCAGCCGACGAGGTTTTCCGGGCGCCATCTTTCCCTGTGCTGTCTTGTGGCTGAGTGGACGCGTCTCGAGGTGAGAGCCGATTTTGTTTTTTTTTTAATGTCATTCTAAAAAAATAAGTTGCAAGAAAATGTGTGTTTTGGGCATTTAGATATGCACGAATTTGAAAGATCTCCGTAGCGGTGGTGAGGGTAGGTTCTAAGGCTGCGTGAGTGAAAACGGATTTCTCCAGCTGTCCGCTGTTTTTTTTTTAGCACGAGGATGTTTTTCCAAGATGGCGGCTAGGTACATGTTGTATCAGAGCCGGGTGGGGTATGTTGTAACATGTATGTATGTATGTATGTATGTATGTATGGGTATGTTGCTTTTGATCGCGAAAGCTAAGCCCTGGCTCGCGTTTGTAGGTAGCTAGTCAATGCTCGTTCCATTTCGGCACAATGTGTTGGCTTCTTTGCTCTTAACGGGCCACTTTTGCGTCTAGTCTGTTGATGTCACCAGGGCTATGTTGTCTAGTCACCAGGGCCGCGGCCGCCTGGTCCTGGTGGCGCAGTCGGTTAAGGCGTCGACCCGCGGTGCGGGCGGTGCCGGGTTCGGGTTCGATTCCCGGTTCCGCCCGTTCCGCGGGCGTCGTCCCCGGCTGTGTCACCAGGTGTGGGGTAGGCTCCCATTTCAGCCGTAGCCTGGGGGGCGGGGGAACAAGGGCCAGGAGGAGGAGGAGCCCTCCTGTAAATGGGACATAAGTGCCCGTTGGAGGGAGACCTGAATATAAAAAAAATGTTTCGTTCGGATTGCATTGACCTAAGTTTGGTCTAATAAAGTGAAGCCTTTGAGCATACCTATACATTGTATTAACCCCATTTAATGTTGCTGTTATGTTCAAAACCAGTAGCAAGCACACTCCCTGAAACGTGAAATAGTGATACAAATTACCCCACCATGTGATACAACTCACCCAAGCCATGGGGCAAGTTGTATCAAAAACATTGTTCTATTCGGCAGACCGTAGAAGAAAAACTGGTAGAGGTAGCGGAAAAGTTACTTTGCACAAAAAAGCAGAAGAATCAAGGAAGGGGACAGTATGGAAATAATGAGTTTATCACGGATAGTTACGAGTTTATGGGTCTCGGAGTAAAAACTGATACAACCCACCCCACTCTCCCCTATCATTTCGTGATAACTTGATATCACCTGGTGAGCCACAGACTTCTGCACGTCTCGGTATACAGAGGTATATGGGTGACCTAAGCTTGAACGCTCTCAGCCTGGGATTAACCCGCGCCGGGCTGGTGCTCCGCGACTTCCGCGCCGGGCGGTGAGGGGGGTGTCTGGTCTAACTCGGCTCCTGGGCCACGTAGCGACACGCAGTAAGCATCATTCGAAAGAGCGTCAAAAATAATGACGGAAACACTTCGGTCATTTTTTGGGTCAGGTCAAAGGTCAGGT